TGCTGTGCCTATATATGGTCATGATGTGCCTATATATGGTCATGATGTGCCTATATATGGTCATGATGTGCCTATATATGGTCATGATGTGCCTATATATGGTCATGATGTGCCTATATATGGTCATGATGTGCCTATATATGGTCATGATGTGCCTATATATGGTCATGATGTGCCTATATATGGTCATGATGTGCCTATATATGGTCATGATGTGCCTATATATGGTCATGATGTGCCTATATATGGTCATGATGTGCCTATATATGGTCATGATGTGCCTATATATGGTCATGATGTGCCTATATATGGTCATGATGTGCCTATATATGGTCATGATGTGCCTATATATGGTCATGATGTGCCTATATATGGTCATGATGTGCCTATATATGGTCATGATGTGCCTATATATGGTCATGATGTGCCTATATATGGTCATGATGTGCCTATATATGGTCATGATGTGCCTATATATGGTCATGATGTGCCTATATATGGTCATGATGTGCCTATATATGGTCATGATGTGCCTATATATGGTCATGATGTGCCTATATATGGTCATGATGTGCCTATATATGGTCATGATGTGCCTATATATGGTCATGATGTGCCTATATATGGTCATGATGTGCCTATATATGGTCATGATGTGCCTATATATGGTCATGATGTGCCTATATATGGTCATGATGTGCCCATATATAGTAATGATTTGCCTATATATGGTCATGATGTGCCTATATATGGTCATGATGTGCCAATATATGGTCATGATGTGCCCATATATAATCATGATGTGCCTATATATGGTCATGATGTGCCCATATATAGTCATGATTTGCCTATATATGGTCATGATGTGCCTATATATGGTCATGATATGCCTATATATGGTCATGATGTGCCCATATATGGTCATGATGTGCCCATATATAATCATGATGTGCCTATATATGGTCATGATGTGCCCATATATAGTCATGATCTGCCTATATATGGTCATGGTGGGCATGTCACATGTTTTTGTCAAATAAAATGTGATAGTGTGGGCAGGGCTTAAGGCTTTTAATCACATACACAAGAATCTGAGATTTTTACACTGCAAGATGCATTCTACATTCAACTCTGTTCAGGCATTGGGGAAAATAATAATAAGTTATTGTTTAATAATGGAGGATTCCTCCATGGCAGCCTACTGGACAATAATCAACTCATAGTGGACAAGTCTATTCTGTAATGGGGAATTTTTTACACTATTATATAGTATAGCATAGTATGCTTAAACTTTTAAGTATAAAGATCAGTGAGGATCACTAGACACTACTTTAAGTAAGTTTCACATAGTGATGATTATTGAGGTCTCGCTCCAACAATCTTTCTAGCCCCAAAAGAATGAGTTTTGCCATCCCAAAATCTGCATCAGTGACCAGAAATCTGAAATCGACTTACTATTGCCAAAGTTATGAGGAAAGTTTCTCTGTACTATAACTATACGATAACGCCAACAATTAGCGACAGTACGCTGGTTTTGGAATGGCAAGCCCCATACAATGAAGACTAGGGATATTCAGGGGTTTCAGGTAGTGTAGAAAGAATTTAAAGTTCTGAATATATAATTCTATAAAGTTTATTTTTCCTGCTAAATCTTTTGCCAATCCCTAATGTTAGGGTTGGAGTGCGCCTTCACTAATCATCACGAAAATACTGCGCTAACAAATAGGCAGGTTAAGTATCATGCAACTGGCTTGTTATTATTATTATTATTATTATTATTATTATTATTAATATATGACTTTCTTGAATTTCTTTCAGGATACTAGCAACAAGTTTTTCATCTCATTTGACTTCAAGAAGCAAAGTTCTCCTAAAGAGATCTCGGAAGGCATGAATGAGATTCTTAAACCGTGCCTATACAAGAAAAGATAAATAAATATGATATGAGTTTGGTTTTGATTACGTGATCATACAGAACCAATTTTATGAATAAACTAATTTTGAGTAAAATTTGCGTGTAAATTTTAATGTTTTTTAAAAGTATATTGAAATGTGTTAGGCCCAAATAATTTCAATTTGTGCAACGAAGCTACGCTAGAATGTAATCACTCATGCATGACTGTCATACCTGGTGTCCTACGTTCTCTGCATACATAGATTTGGCCAAATTGCGTTCCAGAAACTACTCGACGAGGTGTCCTTAACGTTCTCGCATGTGCAGATGACTTTTAGTGATGCCATTGCATTCTAAGTCGTACCATTGTCATGCAATCGACAGCTCCCTATAAATACAATGCGATTGCCAATCAATAAGCCAATTCGTAGTTTGAACTGCGCATGCCTGTATTAAGGTCAACATAAACAAACAGGTTTATGTTGATTGACCTTGGATCCGGGCATGCGCAGTTCGAACTACGATTTGGTTTGTTTTGTTTGCTGCCTACATACCATTGATATGCTTTGGTAAACAAATGGAAAAAAAAAACTTTTAAATTAAGTTTTGAGGAAAATCTAATACAATTTTATGGGCCTTTAAAATTCTGTGAACAACAGTGATTTGTAAAAGCTCTCATAAATTTTTGTCTCCTTCAGAGAAAAAAAAAACACTTCCCCATACACTTTCAAATTAAGTTTTGAGGAAAATCTAATACAATTTTATGGGCCTTTAAAATTCTGTGAACAACATTGATTTGTAAAAGCTCCCATAAATTTCTGCCTCCTTTAAACATTTTTTTTTCGGTGGCCATTTCCTCTATGTGATATTTCTGAAAATGTATGGATGAATGAAATAACCTACATTTTTTCTCTTCAATAGTAACTATTTTTTTGTGATACACGTCATGACTCCAAAATTC